GTAGTAGTAGTAGTGGCAGCAGTAGTAGTAGTAGTAGTGGCAGCAGTAGTAGTAGTAGTGGCAGCAGTAGTAGTAGTAGTGGCAGCAGTAGTGGCAGCAGTAGTAGTGGCAGCAGTAGTAGTAGTAGTAATACTGCTGCCTCCACCACCTCTACCAGGGGGGTTGTGACTGCCTCCGTTGGAGTTACGTTTCCAGTCGTTAAGTGACAATGATTATTACCACTTCTCCGCATATTACTTCTATACTAATACTTCCACCACCAATATTACCATCATCACCACTTCTACCTCCATCACAACTACCATTACCACTACTACCATTAGTACAACCAATACCTCCTCCATTACTATCACCACCACGTGGAATTGGCGACTCCCTTGACGACGACGGCGACTCCCTCGACGACCACCGCCACCGCAATAATGTATTGCTAACAAAACCTATTAATTTGTTGTTGTTTTGTTTTGTTTTAGTTCCAACTGACTTTCATCAAATGCTAACGCATTACACTTCTACTGGTTATCGTGTATTGGCACTTGCTTATAGAAACTTGGAACCCTCTGTTACTTGGAGACATGCTCAGAGAGTGAAACGAGAGCAGGTAATATATATTTTGGAATTTTTTTGGGAATTAATCCCATAATTGATTCAACAAAAAATATTCCTCTTTTTCTTTCAGATTGAAGTTGATATGTTCTTTGCTGGATTACTTGTTATGCAAAACACACTGAAGCCAGAAACAACTCCAGTTATAAAACAATTGCAGAAAGCTAGTATCAGATGCCTAATGGTTACAGGTATGTGGGAAATATTTTCTTACAGTAGCACTCCAAAGGGGCTCATGAGGTTTCATCTAATGATACATACTAAAAAATAGAGCTTTTACTAATTTTTCTGTGCTAACAAACGTTATTCAATATGTCATTGTTTACATTAAAAATATTAACTGTAATTAAGTAAATACATTTTATATACATCATAAATGAAATATTATGAATTTTTTTATAAGGGAACCTCAAGTTATCTGGTCACAGAAAAATTGTGGTTGTGCTTCTGTTTTGTTGAGTAGTAGTTCACTGTTATTTAATGTTTAACAAATATCATAAAAATATTTTATTTCAGGTGATAATATCTTGACAGCTGTAAGTGTTGCTCGTGATTGTGGAATGATTCCTAACGGTGACACTGTTGTCAATTTGAAACTGGTGACTGCAGAAAGTAATTCAGTTGACCAAGTTGACTATGAAATTCTTGGATCAATTACAGAATCTGAAAATGCAGTAAGTTTATTGATTGATATCTAAATTAAATTTTTTTTTCAAAATAATTAAAGATATCACACCTTAACACCTATATTTTTTTTCAAATCGTGATTAATAACGTCAAAGGAAAGTAGTGTTCAACTTGAAGTGAAGAATCTTACCAATAAAGTTGAAGTGTTTGTGATATCAAAATAAGTGCCTTTTTATGATCTCATATGCTTATTTTGATGATTTAGAAACCAAGTCAATTGTTTTTAAAAAATTTTATCTCTGGAACACCTGACCTCATTTTGATGTAGTTGTAGTTTTTTGTCGGGCGTAGCTTATATTTCCTTCTAAATGTATTTGATATCATTTCAGTAATGTAATTAATCTTTGAGTAATTTAGGGTAAAACTTGTTACTAGAAGTTTGCTGGGAGTAGGTAACAATGCTATTGTTTATATTCTTCTCTATTTCTTATTGTTAACAATGCTTTATGCTATTATTAGTGATGGCAACAACGGTGGTAGAAACAAAGATCGTAAGAAACATGGCAGAGTGGAATTGGGCAGGGAAAGGAGGGAGGAACAGGTTGGGTGAGGCATGGCAGGGCAAAGCAGGTATACACCATGTACTATTTATTCTTTTCCTGCCTAATAGATAATTGTGTGTAATGTATGCAGCTGGACAATGCAGGGTACTTCAGCTTGTTATTGGTATTACTGTCAATAATTATGATATTATTATTATTATTATTATTATTATTATTGTTAATATTTATGTATCATTATAATCTGTAACTTTATTATTGCATTTCCACTTTAGAATCATCAACAAACTCAGGTCAGTTGTGATTGGCATTATGCTGTGGATGGAAGGACATGGACTCATATTCATAACACTTTTCCTGAATTAATACCTCAAATTGTTGCCAAAGGCACTGTGTTTGCTCGTATGTCACCAGACCAAAAAACTCAACTGATAGAAGCGCTTCAGGACCTCGACTATGTTGTTGCTATGGTTGGTGATGGAGCAAATGATTGTGGGGTATGTGCTGTTTAATTAAGTTATAATAAAGTAAGCCACTGCATGAAAACATGTTTTGAGTCTAGGAAGATATGTGTGCTAAATGAAAAATCTTTCATATCACACTACATATCAACTATAATTACAATTGACATTAACTACCCCATCAAAATATCTGATTTAATACATTACTATTAGGCATTGAAGACTGCTCACGTTGGAGTGTCTCTGTCAGAAGCTGAAGCTTCTGTGGCTGCACCATTTACATCTCGATCAGCAAACATTGAATGCATAGTGCACTTGCTATGTGAAGGACGCTGTGCATTAGTCACTAGTTTTGGTGTATTCAAGTACATGGCTCTCTACAGCCTTATCCAGTTCATTTCTGTCCTCATATTGTACAAAGTATGTTTAATTTTTTTCTTTATCCTTTTAACATAATTTATACAATGCGATTATGCAATTTTATTCAATATAATTCAAGAGCATGTGAGCATATCCATAAATAATAAATTTTTTTCTTTTGCTTTTACAGCATGGTTCCATTTTGGGCAATATGCAATTCCTGTACATAGATTTAGTTATTACAACCATTTTGGCTGTGGTAATGGGTCGGACAGAGCCTTCTCCATCACTGGTGGTTCAGCGTCCATTGGGAAGCCTGTTGGCACCTAGTAATATGTTTCCTCTTTTCCTTCAGCTGGCTCTGGTTATAGTTATTCAATTAACATCTCTCCTGTACTTGAAGAGTCAGTCATGGTATTTAATTTCTTAGTTTATGTTCAACTGTACGATATGACGATACAACTGTATGATATTTAGTATGTTATAATCTATATATCTTGTATTATTGTAGGTACAGACCATCGGTCCCAAGCGGTAAAAATGACGAAATGATAGTTTGTTGGGAAAACACAGTTGTATTTACTGTTAGTTGTTTCCAGTATCTCATTTTAGCTACAGTATATTCAAAAGGCCGTCCACATCGAAAACCATTTTATTCTAACGGTAAGAATATTGTAATATTTTATCATATAAGTATGGTTATATGTGGGGTCAAACCTCTAAATACAGTGAAACCCCTCAGTTTTTAGTTTTCATAGGACTGTAAAATTGTTCAAGAGAGGAATGAAAGAGAAAAAAGGCCTTGGAATTTTTAAAATTTTTGTCAAATTTGTCATTTTGTCAAAATAAAATTGCAAGTTGTCTAGTTGACCAGAACATTTTCTTGCTTATGAAAATGTTTCAAACTGCAGTGAAACTCCATTTATACGTTTCTCTACTGGTTTGTTTTTTTTGGTAGGTCCCGGATAAATACCTTTAATTCCCATGTTAAATTAATTCAGTTTTGTGTTTTACATTTATACGTTTTTCACACTTATACATTCATAATAAAAGTCCCTTTCAGACCTGATAACGTTCAAATGACCCTGGTAAGACAGAGGGTGACCTGTGCAGAGAGCCTGAAACTTGTTGGTTGCTCGAGTCGGCACGCTCCAAAGCATTCCCGGGGAGCGACCGGTCGCTTGGCCTCTGAGGGGACTTCCTGCTAATGAAACTTGTAATATAGACTCAGCCTAGCTGAGGTGCCAAGACCACGCAAACCCGCGGAGTGGTAGCGCAAAGTGCTCCCAGGCCCCCTCCAGCACCGGAACTTCGAAAAATTTAAGTTGGGTGCATATGGGAGCTCTTTGAATATCTCAGGAGCCGATGGGTAGCTCTGAGGGAAGGTCAACGGAGTCCTCTGGAGAGAGTAACAACATAGAAGACCAATAAGTGAAGTTTGTGCACTAATCGTCCCACACTCTGCAGGCCCTTTTGCTTGCCATAGTATCATATGAGATCCTTTTGGTAGTAGCATGGCACAAGCAGGTAATAAAACTGATCACTTTACCATGCTGCGCAGCAGGTGTTGCCAAGCTGTGGGACTGTGGTAGTCGTGTGCTTCCTGTTGACAGTGTGGAACACTGTGCATTGACCCACAATCTGAAGTAACATCAAGCTTGAAAGCAAAGCTGTTGAGTTTTTATTTTGCTCATAATGATCAATTTCAGTTATGCGTTTTTCTCACAAATACATTTTTTCCCTTCGGTGCTATGAAAAATGTGTAAGTGAAGTTTTACTGCTTCAGCAATCACTATTTTCTTGTTCCATAAAATCATTGTAGTCATGGTTATTGTCACTATTCTTTCTTCTTCTTCACATGTATCATTATTTCTTGCTTTTTGATCTTCCTCCCTTAATGTGTTGTCTTCTGATTTTTTAAGCTGCTCTGGAAGTTTGCGTGTTAAATTCGCATCCTCAGTCTTTCATTTGACACCATCTTGGAACATTCTCTGCAATGTCATCAGATTTTTTCCTGTCCCGCTCTTGTTTGTGACCCCTGATTCTTTAAAAGTTCTTTCACATTCTTTAATAGAATATACTTGAAATTCATATCATTTAATGTTTGTGTGAACCAGTTGTTATCTGCAAACTTGTACAACTGTTTCACAGATACTATGGAAGATAGTGGCAAGTTTCCAAGTTAGAGAAGTTTTTGCTAAGATAGTATTTTTATCATCCTTTTTTGTGGTTGGAAACAGAATGTATACTTCTATTAATGTGAATTCTTTCATACATCTCTTGCAAATCTGGTTCCCACTTGCATGCCGACAAACCAAGAGCCTGCGAGACATTGTCAATCACTTTGTGTAGCAAAATCTCAGCAATGCTTTTTATTAATTTTCACATTGCAGTTCACTTGGTGCAATACCGTTCATTTGAGATTCTTTCTTTACCAGCCCATTCAAAAACATTGGTCTGAATCTTTCATCAGATTCAGTTTTGTTTGGTTTACTGGGGATATCAATTTTCCATTGGATCTGAAAGGAACTGGAGATTAGACTAAAAACCATAGGAGATAAAACCTGCAGTGACCCCTGGTATGTCTTTGTATGTTAGCCAAAATTTCACAATAAAATTTGGCATACTATGTAAAGGAAAACAAGGTACATGGGAATCAAAACTGTTACTGAGGGGTAAATTTATACCTTGGGTGCAGAGAAAAGCAATCAATGTAAAATCAAACTATTTTCAAAAGTAAGGACTTTTTCTTGAGAATATTATTTTCTTATATGTTTCTCGGTAAACTATTGTCAAAACTTTGAATTTTTATTTTGCATCTACATTTACCTCCTTTTCAGTTGTGCATTTTTTTCCCATCAGTCCCCTGAAAAATATGTAAAGAAAGTTTTGCTGTACATATTTCTCTGTTCTTCCCATTACACTATTCTTGCATTAAGTTAATCTTCATCTTCTTTTTCTTTTGTTTATTACAATTGTGCATATCAAAGAGACTGAGATTTCAAAGTTTCTTTGCTAATTGAACATGTGTTCTACATAGAAAACTACTTAACACAGAATCTTCTTGTTTTCTTTCCCCAAATTGGATTTTCCTTTTTTTAACAATATCACTAGTAAGTCACAATTAAAAAAACACACTATACTATGGAATGTAAACAGATATGCATGAGAACTAGTTCTGCTGAAATCAATTTAGCAGCATGCAGCGGCGATGGTGTGACGGTTAGCGTACCGGACTGTTATACCCAAGCTCGCGGGTTCAAACCCGATCGAAGCCGTGGATTTTAGGGAGACAAAATCCTTCGTACGCCTTCCTTCGGAGGGGAAGTAAAGCCAGCTGTCCCATGTTAGTAGATTTACCTCAAACCTAAATGATGCCTCTGAGCTAAATTCAAATCGCCTGTTTCTCACCTAAGAAATACCTCCTTTCTATGCTAGTTGATGAAAGGAGCGTAGCGAAATATGCGTGGTCAGACGGAAGAGCGGGCCTGATGGCCCGAGTCTCGCCACGTAAAATAAGGCAAATTCAATTCAATTCAATTCAATTCAGAATTCAGTGATGCAATCTGAGATAAAATGTGAATTATGGGAGGTATTGTTCATATCAAATTATTAATGGCGGGAAGGGATGTAGTGTCAAAGTAAACCTTTCAACCATGACATATACTGCAGAAAAATTTAATTCACAAAGACGTAAAATTGAGTTTTATTGTATTAAATTGAATTGATTTGCACATGTCATCTAAAATAGAAAAAACAGTGTTTATTTGTTTGTATTTTATGCATTGCTGTACAATTCATCTGATTGTGATAAAAGTGTGTCAACTTATTGCTTGAATTTGCATGAAGGTTTTAGGAATAGTACAATGGTAATGTACATATGTCTGTTGCTCATAGGTGCAAAATGGGGGCATTATTGATAGTTTATGCATTTGTGACAAGTGCTCCTTAAGAGCTCTAGGCAATGCTCTGCACCCTCAAGTATTAAGTGCATCTTCACTGCATTCCCTGTCCCTGTGATTGTGAAATATCGGCTGGAATTATTACTTGAACATTATCTCGTATAAGTAAATCAAATTTCTCCTAGGCAGTGTCAGAGAATGCATCCCCATACTTGAGGAAATTGTTTTAACAATAGGATACCAGACAACCATGCCCGAACCAGGACTTAGAACAAAGCCATTTTGTCGAGCAATTCTTTCTTCTATTAAAATTTTTGCAGAGCATAGCATAAAACATGATTAGCAATCGCGTGACCAGTACCATGTGAAGTGTTATACATTGCAGTAGCAAAGCATTGCCTCGTCCACTAGTTACATATAATAATATTCTTTGAGTTAATTTTGCAAGATAAAAGTGCACCTTTTTAATATTCAATTTCTTTTTACAGGGCTGTTTTTAGGATCTTTAATCATTCTTACAGTATTCACCACACTTCTGTTAATTTGCCCTTTGGAACCTTTGGCAAAATTTTTTGAGCTGAAGCCCCTCTCGGATAACTCTAACAGTTTCCGATACTTCTTGCTACTCTTTCCGGCTGTGCATTTGGCTTTAGCGTGCTTCATAGAGGTAAGTGTGTAAGAGAGTATGTCTAAATCCATTGTGGTGATTCTCTCTTAGGAAAGCAAATCTTGTTATTTAATCATTATATTGATTTTGTGTTTTCTACAATATTATATTGCTTCGAATTATATTATAAATTATTAGTGAGTTGTTTGGACAGTGAAATATTGAGACATGTCAGTTCATTTATAAAATAAGATCAAGTAAAGAGTGTCTATAAAACAATGCAAAATTTCACGACCAGTGTCTGTTGAAATTGCTAACCAGGCTGATAGTCTGTGGTCCAGTTGAATTAACCGTAGATGCAGTTTTTTTCTTTCTGAAGTCCTAGTGGTATGAACCTTTTTAAATAGACAAATAAGCTTGATCCCAGCCAATTTTTGACTGCAGCAAGCGTTGATGAGGGTTGAGATAGGCTAGTGTTGCGTAAGAAGGCAATGGGGTACAGTTTCTAGGCTGATGCGTGGAAATATTACACTTCAAATAAAAATACAATGAATGAAAATACTAGAACACAATTTTTAATGTGTTTATTGTTCTAAATTTTATTTTACCATGCTAGATAATAATGTGCTGGTGCCCAATTGAGGGAATAAAAATATATCTTGCTGGCACTATATCTTTCTAAATTAAATTAAAATAATATATTATTGAACAAGTTTGGACCAATTGCAGTGTGAACCCTACAATTCCATTACAGATTGCAAATGGAAATAAAGTTAACATCCTTTCTTTACCTCATTACTATTCTTCTATATTTCTAAAATTAAAATGAGTGGCCAATAAACAAATTCTAGTTTTCAAACACACCTGAAAATGTAATGATTTCCTTGTTTTTGTGAGAAAAAATGATGCTCACTTACATAAAATCTTTCCTCTTAAACTTGAAGAAAGTTGATGGGATTTCTCAAGCAATGCCTGAAACCTATTCCTATTCTTCATCTTAGATTTCTTGTGTTAGGGTAAAATCTCTTGGCAATTGTGACTGATCCATGCACTCTTATTTTGCTTCTGAACCCATGGCACTCTGTAATTGAGCAATGTGTCACAGCCTATGATTGCTCATAGAGTGCTTCAAAACCCTATTCTGTTGACATCTACTTTGTTGCTGGGGATCGAAAACCTGGGAATCACTACAACTCAGCTTGTCATCCACAGTAAGGGAGAGATAGGGACCGTCATACGCCTCTGGTGAGAAATATCGCATTCGAACTGCTGGGCTGAAAAGCTCTGAGAAAACTGTCTCTGATTCGCAACTGTATGGTTAATACTGATAGCAAGAAATAAGCGTAAATTCAACTGGACCTCGAACTATCAGCTTGATAAGCAATTTCAACATAATCAAGTGTTCTCTCCTCTAGTATTATTGTAATATTATTATGAATGAACTTGTTAAGGTTAGACCTAATGATCTGATCCTGATTTCTACTATTCTCTTAGTCACTCTGAATAGTGTTGCTAGGTTTAACTCCTAAATTTGAGGGTTTTTTATCACCTTAAATGGTAAATTAGTCAAATGTTATGTATATGTCCGTCCCTGCCTCGCAGCCATGGGTTAAGGGGGTACGTGTGGTTATCACATAGACATCACCATGCTGTTTTCCGGTCTTCTCAACCTGATAAGTGAATTTTCTCATTGTCACACAGCAATGTATATTGTGACATTACAAGGAAAACACACATTATAGTCTTGGCTCAACTGGGAATCGAACCCGGGACAGCATAGGGGAAAGCGAGCGTGTTGACCAAGAGCTAGTCATGAGCCCCAATGTTAAGTAGCATTTTACAATTTGTATAAAACAATTTTTATATAGAAAATGTAATCAAAAGGAATAAAATCTACTAAAGATAGCTTTCAGTAGATAACATCATAGCATTAAGAACCAGAACAAGATGTTGCACATTTGTTGAAAATGTGAATAATATTGTTGCCATGAACATCAGATTGAAGAGCTCTATTTCTGTGTAGCAAAGATTATTATATTGCATTGCTTTGTGAAGAGGATTTCTTCACAAGCTTGTGTTTTAGGATTTTGATTTGAATTTATGGAATTTCTTTGGAGATTTTGATTTAATTAAACATTCTTAAAAATGTTGAAAAATTTGTTAAATCATTTGTAAAAATGATTGGTTTACTGTTATTTTTGTTATGGATTACCATATATTAGTTTCACGTTTATTATTAGGAAATTAGTAATATAAAAGCAAGACAGTAATATTATTATATATACAGATGGTAGCAACTCCCTATGAATTTTAAGTTTTTAGAATTGACCACGCAAAATACTGGTAGCAGTATGTTTTCTCACAGTTGCCCTAATTCCACGGTTTTGGCTAGGTCTCATTTAAGTCATTAAACTTAAATAGTTCTCTACATATTTTTCTTTTTCCTATTTCTGTAAGTTGTTTTGTTTGAAATCATTTTTAAGGGAAAAGTTATTTAATTTTTGTATTAAGTGTCAGATAAGCATTAGCAGTAACTCTCATTAAGTTTTAGTGCTTGAGTTTCTGTAACTTATTTACAGTTGCTCCCCGTCTGCCCATGGATTTGTCCCTCCCTCCCT